GGGAGAGCAGGGATACTGAGACTGCCAGGGGAGAGAGAGACTGAGAGTGAGGGAGGGGGAGAGCAGGGATATTGAGAGTGCCAGGGGAGAGAGAGACTGAGAGTGAGGAAGGGGGATACAGGGTGTAAAAATGGGGGTACAAGGAGGGAGAATAGGGGATACAGGCACTGAGAATGGGGGTACAGGGACTGAGAATGGGGGTACAGGGACTGAGAATAGGGGATACAGGGACTGAGAATGGGGGTACAAACAAGGAGGGAGAATAGGGGATACAGGGACTGAGAATGGGGGATACAGGGACTGAGAATGGGGGATACAGGGACTGAGAAGGGGGATACAGGGACTGAGAATGGGGGTACAAGGACGGAGAATGGGGGTACAAGGACGGAGAATAGGGGATACAGGGACTGGGAACGTGGGATACAGGGACTGAGAACGGGGGATACGGGGACTGAGAACGGGGGATACGGGGACTGAGAACGGGGGATACGGGGACTGAGAACGGGGGATACGGGGACTGAGAACGGGGGATACAGGAACTGAGAATGGGAGATACAAGGACTAAGAAAAGGGGATACAGGGACTGAGAATGGGAGATACAGGGACTGAGAATGGGGATACAGGGACTGAGAATGGGGGTACAGGGACTGAGAATAGGGGATCCAGGGACTGAGAATAGGGGATCTAGAGACTGAGAATGGGGGTACAAGGAGGGAGAATAGGGGATACAAGAACTGAGAATATGGAAAACAGGGACAGGAAATGAGAATGGGGGATACAGGGACCGAGAATAGGGGATACAGGGACTGAGAATGAGGGTACAAGGAGGGAGAATAGGGGATACAAGAACTGAGAATAGGGAAAACAGGGACAGAGAATGGGGGTACAGGAAATGAGAATGGGGATACAGGGACTGAGAATGGGGGATACAGGGACTGAGAATGGGGGATACAGGGACTGAGAATGAGGGTACAAGGAGGGAGAATAGGGGATACAAGAACTGAGAATAGGGGTACAGGGACAGAGAATGGGGGTACAGGAAATGAGAATGGGGATACAGGGACTGAGAATGGGGGATACAGGGACTGAGAATAGGGAATATAGGGACTGAGAATGTGAGATACAGGGACTGAGAATGGGGAAACCGCTACTTAGAAAACGAGATAGAAGGATTGACAATGGAGATACAGGGACTGAGAATAGGGGATACAGGGACTAAGAATGGGGGATACAGGGACTGACAATAGGGGATACAGGGACTGAGAATGGGGATACTGGGACTGGGAGGTATAAAGACTGAGTCTGGGGGTACAGGGACTGAGAATGGGAGATAAAGGGACTGAGAATGGAGGTACGGGGACTGAGAATAGTAGTACAGGGATTGAGAATGGGGGGATACAGGGAGTGAGAATTGGGGTACATGGACAGAGAATGGGGTACAAGTAGTGAGAATGGGGGATACAGGGACTGAGAATGAGGGTACAGGGCCCGAGAATGGGGGAAACAAAGACTGAGAATACAGAATACAAGGACTGAGAATGGAGGAAACAGAGACTGAGAATACGGGATACAAGGACTGAGAATGGGGGTACGGGCATTGAGAATGGGGATACAGAGACTGAGAATGGGGATAAAGGGACTGAGAGTGGGGGGATACAAGGACTGAGAGTGGGGGGATACAAGGACTGAGAATGGGGGATACAAGGACTGAGAATGAGGGATACAAGGACTGAGAATGGGGATAGAAGGAGTGAGAATGGGGGTACAAGGAGTGAGAATACGGAATACAGGGACTGAGAATGGGGGTACAAGGAGTGAGAATAGGGGATACAGGGACTGAGAATAAGGATACAGAGACTTAGAATGGTAGATACAGAGACTTAGAATGGTAGATACAGGGACTGAGAATGGGAGATAAAGAGACTGAGAATGGGGGTACGGGAACTGAGAATTGGGGTACATGGACTGAGAATGGTACAAGGAGTGAGGATACGAAATACAGGGACTGAGAATGGGGTACAAGGAGTGAGAATGGGGATACAGGGACTGAGAATGGGGGTACAGGGACTGGGAATGGGGATACAGGGACTGGGAATGCGGGCACAGGGACTGGGAATGGGGGTACAGGGACTGGGAATGGGGATACAGGGACTGAGAATGGAGGTACAGGGACTGAAAATAGAGGATACAGGGAGTGAGAATTGGGGTACATGGACTTAGAATGGGGCTACAAGGAGTGAGAATACACTATACACAAACATATACCTGCATTCAAACCGTACAAAAAAAAACACACATCCCTGCATTAAAATGCCAAAATTACACACAAACACACCCCTGTATGAAAACGCCAATACTACACACAAATACACCCCTGCATTCAAACATCAGTATTATACATAAACACTCACACACAAATACTCCATACAAAACACACCTACATTATCACACAAGCACTGCACACAAATAGTATATTTAAGGACAAGAACATAGAGATTGAACTGCAAAGCTGATTAAAATTAAATGATTTTTTAAAATGTGTTTTAAACCTTTAAATGATTTAAAATGTTCCGTCTCATGAAAGTTGACGTTGTTGCTCATTAACATTTGTTTTTGTACTACGCAGCAAACCTAGTGGCAAAAGAATATCTAAAATCTAATTAAACGTATACCTTTGCTGGCAACGTAGCTAATACAATGTGAAAAATATTACCAGATTTCAGGGAGGGAGTTCTGTGAAAAAAAATTATTTTCAGTATGTATAAATACGCATTATGTAATTACAAAACAAGAATATATTTGCTTATTATATGTTTAATGTAGAGGGCAAAAAAACTCAAATTAGACCATAATTCATTTGTTTTATTTGCACATTATTAAAATGGATAGGAATGCATATATCTCATAATTCCTAACAATAGAAGTTATAGAAGTGGAACAGGGGCGCAGACCTAAGTGGGTGTTCCAGTGATGCAATTGGTAAGTCACCCTGGTAAGATTGCCTTAGAGACTGACATACCCATAGCACTGATCTACCTCTCTGAGGTCTGACTGGCAGAGAATTATGGGTAAATGTTCCATTCTTTGGCCATTATTACATGGGCATACTATTTTTTTAAAATACCTGGCTTTATAGAGTGAGTCAAACTAATCATTGACTGTTTGATGTTCATTAGAATAAATAAGGTGAGAAAAGGAAAAAATTAAAATAAAACCCAAATAATTTTAAAAAAAAGATTGTGTTTGTTTTTGTTCACTTAAAGGAACACTATAACTTTCAGAATATAAACCTGTTTTCTTAACGCTTTAATGTCCATAGTTCTATGGGAGGAGAACTGGGGACCTGATGAGCATGTGTGGCGAGTGCCGCACACACATCCAAGCTTCCCCGTAAGAAATACCTGGGCACACCTTATGGTTTCTTTCAGAAGGCAGTCTTTATTGGGGGTACAAAAGTTAAGACAATGTTTCGGCTCCTACCTGAAAATTTGTCAGGTTGTGCCTGGATATTTAAACTGAGTAACATACACACAGTCACATAGTCACACACAGACAAACACAATCTGATACACGCAGCCACACACAGTCACCCAATGTCACATACACACAGCCACATACACACACACAGGCAAACACAATCTTATACACGCAGCCACACAAAGCAACCCAATGTCACATACACACAGTCAAACACAATCTTATACACACAGCAACCCAATATCACAATCACACATACACACACACTGATACACTCAGTCAAGCACAATCTTATACACGCAGCCACACACAGCAACCCAATGTCACATTCACACAGCCACATACAATCTTATACACACAGCCACATAAACACACACACATACACACAGTCAAACACAATCTTATACACGCAGCCACACACAGCAACCCAATGTCACAATCACACAGCCACACACAGACAGTCACCCAAAATCACATCACCCACACACAGTCATTACATTTCCCTCTCCTGCTCCTTACTGGTACGGGCACGGGGGAGGAAGAGAGGGGGCTGGAAGTGCAATCCCTGCTGTCTAATGGAGAGGAAGCTGGGATTACTTAATGATTTGTCTTTGCATATGGATTTTAGCAGACATCAGGTGCTATACTCTGCCCCTGCTGCCTGTATTGGTGTTATACTTCACTCCCTGTTAAAGGATAATGAAATTGTCTGCAAGGGTCTCACAGAGCAATGCTACAAAGAGTGATAGGTGGATAAGATTTCTTAATGCAACCCCATACCACCTGTCACTCAGTGTGGCCTGCCCTCTCCCCCGGTTGGCATGCTACATAGTGGTTATGGTGTTTAGAGTTTACCTGTAACCATAAAAGATATATTTAGCTTGTCAGTAGTTTCCATGTACATCATGGAGGTCTAGATGCTATTTAGCTGCACTGACTTTGACCAGGAATCAAACCTGTGATTCAGGCCTGTGAATCAAGCCTGTGATTTTGTGGATTGGCGTAGATGAGATACCTGGAGCACTAACTCCTGAGCTATCACATTGTATTTCAATTATGGATTTTATTCATGCCATGGCACATAATAAAAACACAAATTATACAGAGTTACATTTGTTGAGATGGATTCCTGATACAGACCCATATTTAAAACACTGGTAGCCAAAATATAGACCCCAAATATACCAGGTTGGTCAGTCATCGACTAAGTCCTGCAGGACACCATTTGTCCAAGGTCTCAAACTGCAGATGACGGTGGTTTTTGAGGGGACATCTGCAATACATGCCATCACACGATTTCCACCCAAAATGATGCTGACTGGCTTGAACACTATCTAATAAATAACACATCATTCTTCCATATACATGCGTACAAGGTTTAAAAAAATCAAATTAAATGCAGAATTCCACATTGCTCTGTTTACGCTAAATATAGACACGTAACTGTATTATTGCTGTGGGGCTCACATTCAGACAAACAAATACTTAGAATCCTAAAAAAAATGTGCATTAGGATAGCAAAGGGGGATTGGGGCCCAAAACAGGGACTGTCCCTACTAAATAGGAACACTTGGGAGTAATGTATTCTGGAACTGAATGCTTCCATATTGGCTCGTTGTCAATAAATGTTATAAGCAGTGCCGATTTTTCAGCAAACATAGCAAGGAATTGAGGGAAAAAAGACCCAGGCGTCTTTCCCCAATATTTAGCAATTGTTCCTGGAATTTAAACTTTTGAGATGAGGTTAGAACCTCAACATAGCATTCCTTCCTATTAAAGGGTCCTCAGCAGGAACTCCTTAGATTAATGTTTTTTAAAAACTGTTATAGATCAATAATGGCCAAATTTTGTAAATAGGATTTTCTGCACATTACTGCAGTCTAAATTTGCTGTCTACAGAAGCAGAGCCAAATAATTACGTTGAGAGAGAAGGCAAATACAAGTACTAAAGAGAAATTGAAATTAAATACTTCTCTGCAATTACTTCATACTTCCACAGTATTTAAAGGACCACTACCGTCACCCAGCATATGTAATTTCCATGAAGTGGCCTAGGTGCTGTGGTCCTGTCAAGTTAACCCTTCAAGGTACCGTGAACGGTTTAACAAACCTCCAGAAGCTGTTACATTGACAGCCACTTAGCAAACCTTCCAAACTCCAGCATCCAGAAACCTGTGAAAGGGAGGTAAAGGATTACTACTTGGTTCTTTTGGGAACCTGGCCCTCCCGTTCTGGAGCACCCTGGTGGAAATATTCCCCTTATAATGGTGTGTGCATTACCCTCTTCATTTGGGAAGTGTGTGTATATGTTACTGTCTGAATGACTATGTGTAACTATATGACATTGTGCATGTGACTGCGTGACTGTATGTGACTGTGTGCAAATCACTTTATTTGACTGTGTATGTGTGTGACTGTGTGTGTATTTGTATGATTATGTTGTGACAGTGTGTGATTGTGTGTCTGCATGTGTTTTTGTGTTTGTGTGTGTGTGTGACTATGTGTGGTTGTGTGTGTCCATATTTGTAGGTGATAAGGTACAAGTGCACACCAAAATACAATTAAGAAGGGTGATTTTTATTAATATTAATAAAATTTATTTTAATTATATTTGGCGTGCATGGTTTCCTACGATATACTGGCTAATTGTTGGACTGTGGGGACTCACTCTGTCAGTTTGAACCCACCATGCTAGAGTTTTTTTTGTTTTTTTTTTTATTCTAGGTAAGCAAATTGCTTATGTGTTGTATTCTCTTCAACTATTTAATTTTTGTATAGAAAATATACAATCTAGGAAAGAAAAATATATACAATAGTGCAGGACTATAAATTCTATTGCGTGCTGGTAGTATATTTTGCACTCACAGGATATAGCTTGATAACAGGCTCGTAAAGGTATCTTTGAGCGATGTAGCCATTTATTCTTTTGTCTGAGAAGAGAGAAAGAAATCCGAACATAGTGTACCAATCTCAAAGTAAAATCACTTTTTATTATATTGCACTTACAGCAAAGTTAAATTTTCTTGCAAATCAAATTGTAGTAGTTCCACAGCCATAGAAGCAAAAAGGATCCCTCCAGAGCAGGAACAAAAATGATAACCGCAAGTAAGCCAAATAAAACCAATAAATAGACAGAAAGTCACAATTAACAAGTCACTATGTAAGTATTAAGCCCTACACGTTTCGTCCTGGGATAGGACTTCCTCAGGGGAATCCAGTTGCTAGTTGATCTACATCAGGGGTAGTCAACCTTTTTCTACCTACCGCCCACTAATGCATTTTTCTTGATGATAACATTTCCTTACCGCCACCAGTGCAGCAGTAACTCACACTTTTTAGCTCAAGTGTCTTCAGATACTCTGGTAAATAGCCACGCGCATATTTCTTTTTTTCAGATATGGGTTCTAAATTTGTTGCACAATTTAACAACTACTTTTACGCTTTCCACGTTTTGATCTGCACTCCACACAGTGCTTCCCCCCTTTCCCTTTTATTACAAACACCAAAAACAACGCTGTATTAGCTGCCAATTTTTATTACGTGTCACCATAAAAAGAAATTCCCCCTTTTTTTGCTACTTTTCCTGCCGCCTTCTTTTTTACCTTCCTTATATTATATCAATATATCAGGAGTCTCTTTTTCCCTTCCTCTTTATTCTCTCCTTCTCCTTCCTTTAGTTATTTTCCTTATTTATTTTATTTTATAAGATAACAAAATTTAACTTGCCAAAACATGAGCCACTCTAAACACTGCTTTCTCTCCTCCTTTATTTTATTCCCCTATCCCCCTATTTTTTATGCTTTTCTTTTACCTGCCTTAGGGCAATGTCCAAAAGTAAGGCTGAGCTAGTTAGCCAACTTATTATTATTAGCCAACAACAATTCTCTCCTTGCCTATAACTTTTCTTTCTCCTATTTTACAAGTGCTCTGCTCCGCTTCTGCCTGCCCCTGCTATCGTGCATCAGCTCCCACTCCTCCCCTTCCTCTTCCCATGTGTTACACTCACTCGCATTGGCACATTCTTGCGCGCATGCACGTATTCTCTTGTTCGCGTGCATGCATTCTCGCGTTTGCGCGCGTTCATATGCCTTTGTGCTTTCATGTGCATTTGTGCACTCGTGCCTGCCCACTCTCTCAATGGAAGGAGGATTCAGCTTGTTGTGCCGCAGAATCCCCTACCGCCCACCTAGAATCCTGAAACGCCCAGGACCAGGTTGACGACCAATGATCTCCATCTTCTCCGCATTTAAATATCCATTTTGCTGCTGTAATATATATATATATTTTTTTTACTACTCTTCACATGCTTTTGTTTAAGTATGGCAACTTAAGAAGGATGTAGGGGAACAAAACTGGTGTGGACTGACAATGAAATCAGTTAAAGGACCACTCTAGGCACCCAGACCACTTCATCTTAATGAAGTGGTCTGGGTGCCAGGTCCAGCTAGGGTTAACCCATTTCTTCATAAACATAGCAGTTTCTGAGAAACTGCTATGTTTATGAATGGGTTACGCCTTCCCCTATTTCCTCTAGCGGCTGTCTCATTGACAGCCGCTGGAGGCGTTTGCGTGCTTCTCACTGTGATTTTCACAGTGAGAGCACGCAAGCGTCCATAGGAAAGCATTATGAATGCTTTCCTATGTGACCGGCTGGAGGATCGGAGGCAGAGAGCTCCCCGCCCAGCGCTGGAAAAAGGTACGTTTTACCCCTTTTACCCTTTCCAGAGCCGGGCGGGAGGGGGACCCTGAGGGTGGGGGCACCCTCAGGGCACTATAGTGCCAGGAAAACGAGTATGTTTTCCTGGCACTATAGTGGTCCTTTAAGGTAAAGATGACTTTGCACATGCAAATGCTCTTGCTGCTTCAGTCTTTCTAACACTGTGGCATGTTCCCTTTCTTCTACACTCACTACATACACTTTTTTTCTGACCCAGACTGTAAAACAGGAGCTTCTGTCTGCTAGCAAGAAGGTTAGGAGAGGAGTGGACCAGCGAGTGCTACGAGACCATCTTTAGAAAACGTGGACCAAGCGCATCATTAGATGCATTTATGCCAAGCTCAGGATTCTGTCTGCATGGTATGCCCTAGGTTGGTCATCCTACATGATTACCGATCGGGTCCCGCCCTTGCGTCTGACGCCACACACTGCCTCATTAAAGGGAAGCCGCGGTTGTTCCGAAATTGCTCAGTCAGTTTGTTGCAAATTGTTTCTAAGTGACATCTGAGCTCCCTGTGTCTTCCAAACCGACTTTGCTGAACTCTATAATCCATGGACACGGAACGGATTCTGACTACTCTTCTACCTCCTCCAATAAGCTAAGTTCTTTGATTATTGTGCTTTAAGTAATTTGCTACTTTGTCTCAGCCATTAATTAAGCTAGTTCATTGTGCTTCCATATAAACCAGCATTTCATTTGTATCCTGAATTCATCCTGCACAACTCCCGCATTAATTAGCTTGCTTAAGCACTGCATTTATTCTATACTGGAACATTGTGTAAATGTATCCAAAAAAAGGGAACTGTATTAATTTCACTGGATTTAACCTTACTAATTGAGTTGCTGTTGAAATCTTGTTCTGGAGTCTCAAGACCTAAACAAGTAAGCACCATATTTTTTTTTCTTAACGTCAAAATACATTTTCATTTAATTTCTGCAATTGAGTTCCAACGAACTTTATTTTCTTGAGTATTACAATTGGCAGGAAGCCTGACGTGCATTTATGCCAGGCTGACCATATTAATTCTTTCTTGGGCATGTTTGCCCAGTTGGTTGGTTCTGGTTACATGATTCACATCAGTGGCCCACCCTGTTACCCCACCCTCCGAAATCCTGCTTCACCGGACACTGCTGTTAAGGGGTATGGATTTACTTGAGAGATGAAAGCGAGATTTTAGCATAGGGTATGTGTTTTCTGATAGCTATAGCCTGTGGGTTCCCCTCCAGCATCACCTCCAAAAATACATGATACTTGAGAGGTATAACTGGTTTAGTGTTTTCTGTCAATAATTCAATCATAATAGTCACCAGGCACCAATGGGCCCAATGGGCTCTTAATCCTTCCTTGGGAATGGGGTCAAGCAGACCAGCCATATTAAACTTTAGCAGCATGTTCATTCTTCCAAAAGACATTCTATCTCTCTATCCGTCTGTCTGTCTGTCTCTACCTGTTACAACCGCTAATGTGTAAAGAACATTGAAGCACCATAACCACCTATGCTACTTGCACAGGCTAAAACTAAGCTGGGACTGTTGAGTAGTTGGATTTTTTTTTCCAGATGAGCTGTGTTTGCTTAAATTTTAATTTGACATTTGTAAAGTGGATCCATACTTCACAAAGCACATACCATATAGCATTACCTTGGCACACAATGCAAACAACATCACTTTATGCGGTACATGGGGCCATGCAGACACTCAACAACACTATATGTACACAGTATCACACACACATATCACACAGAGCATCACTATATGGACACAACAGCACTCAACACACAGCACCAGACACACACTACAAACAGTATCACACAACTTACACATAGCAATACACACTACACACAGCATTACTCTATGCACAGAGAATCACACATATTGCACACAGCATCATTTTATGCACACAGTGTCACTCTATGTGCATAGCAAGACAAACATTTCACAGAGCATCATTCAATTCACACAGCATCACTCTATGCACACACATCATTACACACTGCACACAGCATCTTTCTATTCACCCATCATCACTGTTTTACCACCGTATCACACACAATGCAAACAGTATTACTCTATGCACACAGTATAACACAAATTGCACAATGCATCACACACAGTGCACACAGTATAACACAAATTGCACCCTGCATCACACACAGTGCACACAGCATCACACACATTGCACCCTGCATCACACACAGCATCACACATACTGCACCATGCATCACCACATTGCACACAGCATCACACACATTGCACACAGCATCACATACATCACACACAGCATCACACACATTGCACCCTGCATCACACATACTGCACCATGCATCACACACATTGCACACAGCATCACACACATTGCACACAGCATCACATACATCACACACAGCATCACACACATTGCACCCTGCATCACACACAGCATCACACATACTGCACCATGCATCACACACATTGCACACACTGCACCATGCATCACACACGTTGCACACAGCATCACATACATCACACACAGCATCACACACATAGCACTATGCATCACACACCACACACAGCATCACACACACTGCACCATGCATCACACACATTGCACACACTGCACCATGCATCACACACGTTGCACACAGCATCACATACATCACACACAGCATCACACACATAGCACTATGCATCACACACCACACACAGCATCACACACACTGCACCATGCATCACACACATTGCACACACTGCACCATGCATCACACACGTTGCACACAGCATCACATACATCACACACAGCATCACACACATAGCACTATGCATCACACACCACACACAGCATCACACACACTGCACCATGCATCACACAAGCTGTGTGTATGATAACTCAGTATTATTCAGTGTACACAATGTAACTAAGGCAGCCCCTCACACACAATGCATAGATTATCCCTCACCCCTCCCTGCCTCTCCCCCGGAAGCACTATCTGTCTATCCCCTCCTATCCCCCTCTCCCAGGATCATCCAAGCTGGTGCTGGCTGTCAGGTAAGGAATCAGTACCATTCATTCATTGATGCTGACACTTTGTATATTTACTGTGTGTTATTTTCTACAGACTCTGACTGCCTGTAGATATATACATTGTGTTACATCCTCACAATACAAAACAAGTTAGGAGTAGAATATTTATTGTTATATAATACCACTACCTGCTACACTATTGTAATTTTATTCCGTGAGCACAGAGCCAGCAATGAATGTACATGAATCTAATTTCATGAGATTTTCATATTATTATACCAGAGTCTCAATGCACCCTCTAACTGCCCTTACTATTCCTTTCACATAAGGGGTATCTGGCTTTACTTGCCCCTTAACCCTTTATTTAGGAGCCCATGTTCTGCCCCCTAACTACCAGCTGCCCCTCCACACCATGTGCCTCATAGTCTTTACCAGACATTTTCCTTCCCAGTCATGGCTCTGGGTGCCCCTGAATGCCAGCACCCCTTCCTATAATAAAGATTGCCTGCCAATTTATTCTCCAAGAATTTCAGGGCTCACATTCACTGCAGTACTGTCCACTTTACAAAAAAACCCCCACCTAATTCCATCCCCCTGCACCTGTTTAGCCATGAGCATTGCCCCCATTCCACAAAAAGTGCAAGAGCTTCCCCACTCACTACCAGGACTAATGCCACCTAGCCACATGAAGGTGCATCCAGCTGTCAGTCAGTTATAATACAGATTGAGAAGACATGCACATAGGAGGCATTTAGGAGACTAAAAAAGAGAAAACTGAATTACCCTTTTTTTTTTTACAAACTCTCAGATCCAACAAATTGCCAAACAACGACTAATCAGAATAATTTATCCTCTCCTATTTGTTGTTATAGAATTTAAAAAAATGCATTTCTAACTAAAATAGATTTCCCTCAAATTACTCCCAAACTGAAAGACCACCTTTCCAAAGAGATTACTATTGAGGACACATTGTTGTCCTGAGCATGGAACAAAATTAAATTAAAATGTCATTTTAGAAAATGAAGAGAGTAAATGCCAGCCATTAGAGCGTATGTACAGAAAATAAGGCAGATGTAGGCGCTCGCTATAATGTGAACAGGCAGCAGTAAATCTACAAGGATTCACAAACCTTGCGTGAGATACAGAAAGGTGACAAAACAACAGATGATAAACCGCGCCAAACAGAACTGAAAAAAATCACACAGGTATACTCAATCTTAACAATAACCCAATAATGTGTAATAAATGATGTATATACGTACTCTCTCGGGAGTAAAGTGATTTCGTATTTCGGTACCAGCGTATGTTTCTGCGCACTGTATGACTCATTAGCATTATGTTTTAAACAGATAACACCTAAAACTGGAGCTTCCTCTGAACGGGATATAGGAGATGCATGGCAACATTAGACATCACTGTGTCCGAGACCTGGAACCCATTCAATATGGAGGACCTGCGTGCGTCTCTTTACCATTCTTTTGCTCAGGTATGGAGGATGAAATGAAGGCATTTAAAAATGATATGGAAAAGGAGCTGATAATGATATATTTTGTCCTAAACCTTCTCTGTTAGGCATCTCCATCTGAGGAGATAGGCTTAGAGGCGTGCCATGGACCTTCCATGCTTGCAGCTGCGAGTAACGTTTAGGCTGCTGCCTAAGAGCTTAGGACTTTAAATGTTGAGCCTTGGCTTTTAGTGACAGTAAATTCTTCTGTTTCTGTTAAACCTCAATATGACGGAGCTCTTGTACTCTGACTGATTACCTCCACCAGGTCAGCGTCCTTGCTGCTACCAGGGACTCTGGAGCATGTGAGACCCGGTCGTTGAAGCTTGACTGGGGCCTCCAAGGATGTAACTCTGGAGACCCTGTCTAATGTAGAGCGGTGATTGTGGGGGTAGAATGACCTTTATTGTACAGAACACAGCTATTTATACAAAACAGTGTTGATTCTCCTTGCATGGGGTCCTCCATACAATGAAATGGACAGTACAAGGGTCCTTCCCCAGCGCTACTCTGTCTGGGGACTTAATTATATTATCCCAAGATAAGAATCAGCTTCCTGCTGTACCCACAAAATGTCTGCCAGAACCCCCTTTCCGTGGACCATATCCCCACACAATATATATTCAACAGCGCCTCTGCTGCCCAAATAGCACCCTGATCGAAGAATCCGCACCCAAGTTACTGGGTCAAGGCTATGCTCGGATATAGCAAGGAGTTCCAGGCTTGCGGCGCCTTAGTTCCAGTCTAGGGAGGGGAGCACTCTTGAGGGACCATGGAATACCTGCTGCCGATCCAAGGAACAGTTCCCGAGTGTTTCACAGTATCTCCCAATTAGATGCTCAATGTGTAAAACAAGTCCTGGCAATCCGGAGAGGTCCACAAATCCAGCTGAGAAGCACAATAAGGTGCTGTTGGGACCAGGCCCATAGTCTGTGGGCAGGAGGCTGGCCTTCAAGCCTCTCCAAAAGTCTGTGGCATGGAAGCTACTGTCACACTATTGAAAACTATTTGACAGAAATTGGAGGGAATGCATCAGTAGCATCCTTGTACCATAACCAACACTGAAAGCAGCAGTGGTTATGGTGCTCGGAGGTTCCCTTTAAGGCTGACTGTGTATCAAGGAAAAATGTAGTTCAGAAATATCTTGAATGTCATCAAACTGTGCTTTGCATGAAAACTTACATACTAATCCCCTACTGTATCCGTGTCCTGCAGATAAAGTCTTCCCCCAGCCTGAAGAAGATCATTGCTGTAACAGCTGTTAGTGCTATTTCTCTCATCTTTCTCGCCCGGCACTTTAAAAGAAGACGGGGGAAGAAGAAAAGCATAGTCACTCCCCAGTGGGAGCCAAGCCACTTGGTTTTACAATGCACCAAAAATTCAGCTTGGGAGAAAGGTGGGTCTGATCTGCATATTATTTATTCAATGATACAATATATTCTCTCCATCAGCCTCCCATTCACTGATTGGTCGGCAAGTGTATGGGTGGGCTCAATCCAATATAATTAGAACTTGAAGATGTACAGATCTTTATAGCTGCAGGCCGCACAAGATGATCTTATAAACAGTAACCAAGCTTTTGCCAAAGGTAGCCTGTAAAATGCAATCAGCATGAAACCAGTTATTCTTGTGTATAAACATTGTCTGCTGCCATATTTGTGGAGTGTTCATATATAGAAATGCAAATGATATGAACTCAATCAAAAACAGTTATCATTAACTACCAAATGCTAAATTATATGCATTACAAAGGAAATAAGCATTTTAGGATAAGATCTATCTGGCTGTTTTCCCGTATTAGTTAATGTAATGAATATTATTTAAATAAATACAATTCTGTTTATTTGTTTTCAAAAGTCACGTGTGCCATCAAACTTAAAATTGTGGAGGATTGGTGAGGGAATTATGCATTTTAGAGACGATGTAAGAGAACTATGAATTAAAGCCAAAGTGGTTAAACTGTAAAAAAAAATAGCAGCACTAAAGACGTTTTTCCATTTTCACTACAAATTTTTCAAAATCCCTTTTCATTTCTCCACAATTCAAATTTAGTGAATAAACCCACTTTTTGGTTTGGCCTAAGAGGCAGGCAAATAGTCCGTCAATGAAATATCATGGGATTAAACCTTATATTGCCAGCCATACCCTACCAGTGTTATTCCAATAGACCACACACAGAGTTAACTTATTAATGGAATTTGGGGGGGAAAAAAAACAAGAGTAATTACCCTGGAAACTAAACTTATTGATGATTGGACTTTAGAACTTTGCCCTAGAATTCCTTCTTATACAGAATCCCTATTGTTTATTGCTGTCCGTGGTGAGCAAAACTGAGAAAATACGGTATTTGGAATTTATTAATATGTGTATGTTGTTTCAGGGTCCAGTTGTTCCAGTAGCAGACAAAATCTCACTCTATCCCTGAGCTCAGTGAAGGAGAAGGGGCCTCAGCTGCAGGTTAATGGAGGGCTGTTCAGTAAATACTCTGGTTCCGCACAGAGCTTGGCTTCAGTAAGTGCTGATTTGTATCAGATTCCATTAGGCTCCTTGAGCCATAAACATTATGGACCACATATTGTGTAACTCTTCAAATCTGAATCTAAAAGCTTAAAAGCTCTGCTTTAAAGAAGAAATTAAACTAGCACAGATGATGAGTTGCAAGGCAATATATGGACTGTGTCAGATGATAGAATTTAATTAAAGTGTGGAATGTATGTGTT